CCCTCCCTCACCTCGGAGGAAATGAACTTCCTCCGCCGCTGCTCCCTTAGAGATAGGGTGAGGAGCTCGGTCACACGGGAGGAGCTCGGAGTAGAGCCGCTGCTCCCTTAGAGATAGGGTGAGGAGCTTGGTCACACGGGAGGAGCTCGGAGTAGAGCCTCTGCTCCCTTAGAAATAGGGTGAGGAGCTCGGTCACACGGGAGGAGCTCGGAGTAGAGCCGCTGCTCCCTTAGAGATAGGGTGAGGAGCTTGGTCACACGGGAGGAGCTCGGAGTAGAGCCTCTGCTCCCTTAGAAATAGGGTGAGGAGCTCAGTCACACGAGAGGAGCTCTGAGTAGAGCCGCTGCTCCCTTAGAGATAGGGTGAGGAGCTCAGTCACACGGGAGGAGCTCGGAGTAGAGCCGCTGCTCCCTTAGAGATAGGGTGAGGAGCTCGGTCACACGGGAGGAGCTCGGAGTAGAGCCGCTGCTCCCTTAGAGATAGGGTGAGGAGCTCGGTCACACGAGAGGAGCTCGGAGTAGAGCCGCTGCTCCGTTAGAGATAGGGTGAGGAGCTCAGTCACACGGGAGGAGCTCGGAGTAGAGCCGCTGCTCCGTTAGAGATAGGGTGAGGAGCTCAGTCACACGGGAGGAGCTCGGAGTAGAGCCGCTGCTTCTCCACGTCAAGAGGAACCAGTTGAGGTGGCTCGGGCATCTGTTCCGGATGCCTCCTGGACGCCTCCCTGGGGAGGTGTTCCAGGCACGTCCCACCGGGAGGAGGCCCCGGGGAAGACCCAGGACCCGCTGGAGGGACTATGTCTCTCAGCTGGCCTGGGAACGCCTTGGGGTCCCCCCGGACGAGCTGGAGGAAGTGTGTGTGGATAGGGAAGTCTGGGCATCTCTGCTTAGACTGCTTCCCCCGCGACCAGGCAACGGATGAAGCGGAAGAAAATGGAATGGAATGGAAATTTCCACTAATTTAGTATTTGATTAATTGATATTTGAACCTTACGCAGACTTTCACATGCGGAGGAGAGGTTTTATGACTCAGATATTTATATAATGACTTCAGAACACAAGTAATGCTGATGCAGTTTTGCCATTTTAGTCAAAAAACAAAAACTTATTTCCTCAGTAATTCACCTTTAAATATGAAACTACTTTATGTTTAATGCTCGGCCTCTCTTTGTTATCATTAGAGTGACTCTGGCTTACAGTCAAATCAGTGGTTACAAGGACAGACCTGCTGTGACACCGAGACACATGTTTGTACTTTACTGCACGGAGAAGCCACAGAACTGAAGAGAAAAAACTATGCTTCTGAGTCTGTTACTTCTGCTCATCTTCTCAAAGCAGACGGCTTTTATTCACGGACAAAAACACCCATTCTTACATGGAACTCATCTCGCTGAACTCTGACCCCGACTCAAACTGGATTTCTCTTGTCAGACAAAAAATTGACTTTTGGACTGAACTAAACTCATCTTCATCATTATTAAACATGACAATACAAGCACACAAGGTTTATAACTAAAACATACATGCATACATTAGAGTTATTAGAAGTAAATGGACTTTTGAATGCAATTATAATTTTGCGAGTTTATCCCACAAGTGTTAATCAGACGGTGGTTCTCGCTCTCCGTGGACCATGTGTGTCCTTGCTGAGGAATAAATACAAATGGGAACAAATCAACGTGTTCATGCCTCGCTTTTATACTGTTCCAACTATTTAGCAGTACTCTCTACGCCCATCAGCGGTCGAGATAATGTGTCTTATGAATTTTCATTGGGTCATTTCTACTTCCCTGAGGACCGCAGGAAAAGCGGGTCTTCCTTACGGCTTCATCTACTTTGTAATCATCATCATTACAATCATCGGCCCTGCTTCCATTTCCACTTTCCAAGAATATAAAATAGACGAGACGGGACGGAAATGGTTTACTGCGAAGAATTGGCCAGACGGAAAAATGAAACAAAAAAATATGCTTGAAATGGTACAAGGGCTGAAGGTTCTGAAAGCGTGGTAAGGTTCTGAAAGCGTGGTGAGGTTCTAAAATTTCTCCTATGTGAGATAAATAAAGCAAATCTTATCTTAAAAGCGTGGTAAGGTTCTGAAAGCGTGGTAAGGTTCTGAATGCGTGGTAAGGTTCTGAATGCGTGGTAAGTTTCTGAAAGTGTGGTAAGGTTCTGAAAGTGTGGTAAGGTTCTGAATGCGTGGTAAGTTTCTGAAAGTGTGGTAAGGTTCTGAAAGTGTGGTAAGGTTCTGAAAGTGTGGTAAGGTTCTGAAAGTGTGGTAAGGTTCTGAATGCGTGGTAAGTTTCTGAAAGTTTGGTAAGGTTCTGAAAGTGTGGTAAGGTTCTGAAAGCGTGGTAAGGTTCAGAAAGCGTGGTAAGGTTCTGAATGCGTGGTAAGTTTCTGAAAGTGTGGTAAGGTTCTGAAAGTGTGGTAAGGTTCTGAAAGTGTGGTAAGGTTCTGAAAGTGTGGTAAGGTTCTGAAAGTGTGGTAAGGTTCTGGAAGTGTGGTAAGGTTCTGAAAGTATGGCAAGGTTCTGACAGTGTGGTAAGGTTTGGTAAGGTTTCTGGAAGTGTGGTAAGGTTCTGAAAGTTCTGAATGTAAGTGTGGTAAGGTTCTGAAAGCGTGGTAAGGTTCTGAAAGCGTGGTAAGGTTCTGAAAGCGTGGTAAGGTTCTGAAAGTGTGTTAAGGTTCTGAAAGTGTGTTAAGGTTCTGATAGTGTGGTAAGGTTCTGAAAGTGTGGTAAGGTTCTGAAAGTGTGGCAAGGTTCTGAAAGTGTGGCAAGGTTCTGAAAGTGTGGTAAAGTTCAGAAAGTGTGGTAAGGTTCTGAAAGTGTCGTAAGGTTCTGAATGTGTGGTAAGGTTCTGAATGTGTGATAAGGTTCTGAAAGTGTGGTAAGGTTCTGAAAGTGTGGTAAGGTTCTGAATGTGTGGTAAGGTTCTGAAAGTGTGGTAAGGTTCTGAAAGTGTGGTAAGGTTCTGAAAGTGTGGTAAGGTTCTGAATGTGTGGTAAGGTTCAGAAAGTGTGTTAAGGTTCTGAATGTTTGGTAAGGTTCTGAAAGCGTGGTAAGGTTCTGAAAGCGTGGTGAGGTTCTAAAAGCGTGGTGAGGTCCTGAAAGCGTGGTAAGGTTCAGAAAGTGTGGTAAGGTTCTGAAAGTGTGGTGAGGTTCTGAAAGTGTGGTCAGGTTCTGAAAGTGTGGTAAGGTTCTGAAAGTGTAGTACGGTTCTGAAAGCGTGGTAAGGTTCTGAAAGTATGGTAAGGTTCTGAAAGTGTGTTAAGGTTCTGAATGTTTGGTAAGGTTCTGAAAGCGTGGTAAGGTTCTGAAAGCGTGGTGAGGTTCTAAAAGCGTGGTGAGGTCCTGAAAGCGTGGTAAGGTTCAGAAAGTGTGGTGAGGTTCTGAAAGTGTGGTCAGGTTCTGAAAGTGTGGTAAGGTTCTGAAAGTGTAGTAGGTTCTGAAAGTGTGGTGAGGTTCTGAAAGTGTGGGTAAGGTTCTGAAAGTGTGGTAAGGGTCTTTAAAAGTGTGGGTATGGTTCTGAAAGTGTGGTGGAGGTCTGAATAGATGTGGTATGGTTCTGAAAGTGTGGTGAGGTTCTGAAAGTGTGGGTCAGGTTCTGAATTGTGTGGTATGGTTTCTGAAAGACGTGGTGAGGTTCTAAAAAGCGTGAGAGGTTCCTGAAAGCGTGGTAAGGTTCAGAAAGTTTGGGATAAGGTTCTGAAAGTGTGGTGAGGTTCTGACATGTGTGGTCAAGGTTCTGGAAAGTGTGGTAAGGTATCTGAAAGTGTGTACGGTTCATTGAAAGCGTGTAAGGTTACTGAAAGTGGTCAAGGTTCTGATAGTGTGGTAAGGTTCTGAATGTGTGGTAAGGTTCTGAAAGCGTGGTGAGGTTCTAAAAGCGTGGTGAGGTCCTGAAAGCGTGGTAAGGTTCAGAAAGTGTGGTGAGGTTCTGAAAGTGTGGTAAGGTTCTGAAAGTGTGGTAAGGTTCTGAAAGTGTGGTAAGGTTCTGAAAGTGTGGTATGGTTCTGAAAGTGTGGTGAGGTTCTGAAAGTGTGGTGAGGTTCTGAAAGTGTGGTAAGGTTCTGATACTGTGGTAAGGTTCTGAAAGTGTGGTAAGGTTCTGAAAGTGTGGTGAGGTTCTGAAAGTGTGGTCAGGTTCTGAAAGTGTGGTAAGGTTCTGAAAGTGTAGTACGGTTCTGAAAGCGTGGTAAGGTTCTGAAAGTATGGTAAGGTTCTGAAAGTGTGTTAAGGTTCTGAATGTTTGGTAAGGTTCTGAAAGCGTGGTAAGGTTCTGAAAGCGTGGTGAGGTTCTAAAAGCGTGGTGAGGTTCTGAAAGTGTGGTATGGTTCTGAAAGTGTGGTGAGGTCCTGAAAGCGTGGTAAGGTTCAGAAAGTGTGGTGAGGTTCTGAAAGTGTGGTCAGGTTCTGAAAGTGTGGTAAGGTTCTGAAAGTGTGGTATGGTTCTGAAAGTGTGGTGAGGTTCTGAAAGTGTGGTAAGGTTCTGAAAGTGTGGTAAGGTTCTGAAAGTGTGGTATGGTTCTGAAAGTGTGGTGAGGTTCTGAAAGTGTGGTATGGTTCTGAAAGTGTGGTAAGGTTCTGAAAGTGTGGTATGGTTCTGAAAGTGTGGTGAGGTTCTGAAAGTGTGGTATGGTTCTGAAAGTGTGGTGAGGTTCTGAAAGTGTGGTAAGGTTCTGAAAGTGTGGTGAGGTTCTGAAAGTGTGGTAAGGTTCTGATAGTGTGGTAAGGTTCTCCTCCTCCTCACTCCCCTCAGGACTAAACACAGAACCTTTGGGGCTCGAGCCTGTGTCGCAGCTGCTCAAATCAAAATGGCGGTAGCGACGGCGCTTTAATAAGACCTCATTGGAATGGTTAGAAGGGCATCAGTGGCTCAGAGTTCAGGGAGCCAGAACTCTCAGGGAGCCAGAACTCTCAGTGAGCCAGAACTCTCAGGAGCCAGAACTCTCAGGGAGCCAGAACTCTCAGGGAGCCAGAACTCTCAGGGAGCCAGAACTCTCAGGGAGCCAGAACTCTCAGGGAGCCAGAACTCTCAGGGAGCCAGAACTCTCAGGGAGCCAGAACTCTCAGGGAGCCAGAACTCTCAGGGAGCCAGAACTCTCAGGGAGCCAGAACTCTCAGGGAGCCAGAACTCTCAGGGAGCCAGAACTCTCAGGGAGCCAGAACTCTCAGGGAGCAGTCAGATGGAAACTCTGGTTGGCAGGAAGTCGGCTCAAAATAAAATGTTTCATAATAAAAGCGGCTCAGGTAACAACACGGGTTACACATGCATTTGAAGTTAGAGCACATACTATCTTTGGAAAACAGAGATATTTTATTTGAGGTTTGAACCAGCTGTGATTAATTACAAACATTAAAATCAAAAAGAATGGGTTTATCTCACTCTGTGCTGAATTACAGAAGTCAGACTTGAGAACAGTCTTCTCATGTTCAAAGTCCTGCAGTAATGACATGGAGCCTCCACCTGAACCTTCTGTTTGGTGAGTCACGACGTCACCTCCACCAGAGACAGTCCATGACCCAATCTGATATATGAGACAGATGACCACTGGACTGGACTGGACTGACCGCTGGACTGGACTGGACTGACCGCTGGACTGGACTGGACTGACCACTGGACTGGACTGGACTGACCGCTGGACTGAGGACTAGACTGACCGCTCGGACCTGAATGCACCTTTAATGTACTTATTGCAGTGTGCTGTACGGAGTGTGGAAGTGCACACAACCTCTGTGTGTGTGTGTATATGTGTGTGCATGCGTGCGTGTGTGTGTGTGTGTGTGTGTGAGTGTGTGAGTGTGTGTGTGTGTGTGTGAGTGTGTGTATATGTGTGTGCATGCGTGCGTGTGTGTGTGTGTGTGTGAGTGTGTGAGTGTTTGTGCGAATGTGTGTGCATGCGTGCGTGTGCGTGTGTGTGTGTGTGTGTGTGTGTGAGTGCGTATGTGTGTGTGTGCGTGTGCGTATGTGTGTGCATGCTGTGTGTTTGTGTGTGTGTGCGTGCGTGTCATTGGAGAGGCTCCACTCTGATTGTTAACGATGACTGTAGAGTTCATGGCTTTATCCTTTCAGAATCTTTGTGTTTAAATTGTGTGAGAAAAACCTCATCTCTCACCGTCCTGCTTTTTTATGCATTTATTGTTCATTTTTACACATTTTTGTCATATTTTTTCAATTAAAATCCTTCATAGACAGCTGAGGATCACCATCAGTCTGACCATTCTCTCTCCACAACCCAATACAGTTTGGCTCTTTCCAGACAATTCTTTGGAAACTACACTAATTAATAACTTCTGCAAGTAAACAGTGTGTTGCTATGGTAACCAACACTTGCTCAGAGCTGAGATTGCTCTAGGACCAGTTCAGGATCAGTCTAGTCTGTCTAGGATCGAGTTAATTTCATAAACATAGTGACATTGGCCTAAACTACATATAGAATACACCAGCCATTCCCAAACTCAGTAACACCGAGGCCCCCTTAAAAATCTGACGGGTCTGCGTGGCCCCCCAAAATAATAACCAAGAAGACAACATTAAGAATAGGCTCTTCTGGTTATTTTATTTTGGGGAAATAGCCTCTGCTACAAACATTGTAATACAAAAATGATTACAGTGGATTATTCAAGTCAAATAATGAACACAAATATTTTAATATTACAAACAAAACATTATAAATTTAACATTAAATATATATATATATTTTTTTATGACCTCCCGCGGCCCCCCTGCAGTACCCTCGCGGCCCACCAGGGGGCCGCGGACCCCACTTTGGGAGACACTGGAATACACAATACATACACAAAGCTATGAAGATTAAAGACGTACACAAGTAATGAGTGATGTCACAAAACAAAAAGCCGTCAAATTGACTGTTGTGGTGGTTCTAGTGTTGAGCCTGAACCGAGCGTTTCCATTCATTCATGAAGAGAAATGCACCGTCTTTGCCCCTTCACGGCGGCGGCGGTGGCGGCGGTGGCGGCGGAGGCGGCGAAGGCGGCGGAGGCGGCGAAGGCGGCGGAGGCGGCGGAGGCGGCCTGCTTCTGCTGGCTCGCCGGCCGCTCCTCCGATGGCAGAGCGGAGCAGCCAGACGCCGTCAGGAGGTAGCAGTTTTTTGGACTAGCGCAGCAGATGGTCGCGCCGCACGTGTCCGTCCAAACTGCTTCGCAAAGAGGCTGTCGCTTTTGGAGCCGCTCCCTGGACCCGGAGCCAACGGTCACCTTTGAGAGGCCCCTCCAGGCAGATGGTGCGAGCTCCGGCCTCCGGGACCCTTCACGGTCACACACGCTCAACACAATCTGGATTCAAACGGGCTTGTTTAGACTTTTGTGTTGTGTCAAATTCAGTTAATTTATTTGTGTTTTTCAATTCATTTCTATGTATTTTAGTAAATTTTAAAATAGTTATCTCGGAGGACTTTACAAAGCTATGGATTCGCCAACACAGATCAGAGAATCAAACCGTTCAAACTCAGAGCCTTTGGAGCCCGGCCTTACCACACCATCCTACTCATTTCATTCTTGGATTGAACCAGAACAGATTAATTTACCTCCTCTCTCTCCCTCACCCAGACCTCCTCTCTCTCCTCCCTCTCTCTCCTCCCTCTCTCTCCCTCTCTCTCCCTCTCTCTCCCTCTCTCTCCCTCTCTCTCCCTCTCTCTCCCTCTCTCTCCCTCTCTCTCCCTCTCTCTCCCTCTCTCTCCTCCCTCTCTCTCCCTCTCACTCAGACCTCTCTCTCCCTCTCTCTCCCTCATCTCTCCCTCTCTCTCCCCTCTCTCTCCCTCTCTCTCCCTCTCTCTCCCTCTCTCTCCCTCTCTCTCCCTCTCTCTTCCCCTCTCTCTCCTCCCTCTCTCTCCTTCACACCAGACCTCCTCTCTCTCCCTCTCTCTCTCCCTCACCCTCGACCTCCTCTCTCTCCCTCTCTCTCTCCCTCACCCAGACCTCCTCTCTCTCCCTCTCTCTCCCTCACCCAGACCTCCTCTCTCTCCCTCTCTCTCCCTCTCTCTCCCTCTCTCTCCTCCCTCTCTCTCCCTCTCTCTCCCTCTCTCTCCTCCCTCTCTCTCTCCCTCTCTCTCCTCTCTCTCCTCCCTCTCTCTCCCTCACCCAGACCTCCTCTCTCTCCTTTGCCCAGACCTCCTCTCTCTCCCTCATATTGCTCTCCCTGGGCCTCCTCTCCTCCCTGATATTTCCCATGGAGCGTTCAATGCATCCACTCACTCACTCCACTGGCTCCGGCGTGCCCCGGATCAGGCGCCCGCTGTGCAGAGCAGATATGAGGAGGGAGTGAGCCGCAGAATGTGACTTTGGGGGGGGGGGGGGCATTCTACTGGAGAAACCAACTCCTCAAGCATGAGTTTCAGCTTGTTTTAATATTTATTAAAAAAACACATTATTCCAGTCCTTGTTTTTCATCTCTCTCATTCTGATATACTGTCATTCCGGTCTACAGACGCTACTTTTATTTAGTTATTTGAACCCTGCGGCTTTGTAGCAATGTAGCTGTTATAGCAAAATACTAGCTGTTTATTGTATGAGAAAGAGAGAGAGAGAGACTGAGAGAAACAGAGAGAGACAGAGGGAGAGAAACAGAGAGAGACATAGAGAAACAGAGAGAAACAGAGAGAAACAGAGAGAGACACACACAGAAAGAGAGAGACAGAAAGAGAGAGACAGAGAGAGAGAGACGAAACAGAGAGAGACAGAGAGAGAGAGAGACAGAGATTGAAACTAAAAGAGAAAAAATATTGTGGACCTCTGCTTTAAACGGCTGCAGAACAACCCACTGTCGATTATAAAAAGTCCACGGTGTGAGAGTCGAGTCTGTTTGGAGAACGATCCTCCTCTCGACCTCAGATGCTTTGAAAATACTAGACTTTGGTGATGCAAAAATTGAAATTCAGCTTTCCAAATATCTGAAAACCCCATTTTTGGAAGATGAGAACATTTCATCTGTCGGTGTGGCGCAGCGTAAAAATCCGTGTGATGAGTCCGAGCCGGGGCTGATTTAGCACCGAGTGTGTCTGAATATTTGATGTGTGAGGATCAGGAGTGGCTTCAGTGATGAGTTTGAGAATGTCTTTATGAGTCAGAATGTGCAGTGTGTGGGTTCCTCTGCAGCATTGGTAAGTAAATAAGTCATCTGGATTCACAGACCAGACAAAGAACTTCATAATTGTTGTGGGTGTTTGTCTTTCACTGATGCCAGACCTATTGTACTTTTTCTTAGTGGTATAGGGGTAACCGGAGCACCCGGAGAAAACCTACTTGACTCATTGAAATATCCATTAACATCAGTGGTGTTTGGCGGCTGTCACAACATGATATTTGACATCTAATAATAATAATAAATAATGCTTTGGTTTTTTTGGGACACTAAAAGACGCTTTACCTTCATTATTATTTCACACCAAACACAGTGGTGATAAACTACTACTGTAGCCACAGCTGCCCTGGGGCACACTGACAGAAGCGAGGCAACCAGTCTGTGCCATCGGCCCCTCCCACCACCACCAACCATTCACACACACACCAGACTCATTCTAATGTGGGGGAAGTGTCTTGCCTCAGGACACAACCACAGTCCGACACTTTACAGCCGCAGCCGCCCCACTGTGGCACCTGCTGTTCCCAGAGGTCTCCCATCACAGCACTAACCAGGCCCTACCCTGCTTTTCTTTCCTTTAGCATAATAAAGAAGCTAGTATCAAATCTCTAGCTTTAGCATATAAGAAGCGAGCAGAAAGCAGCTCAGGTAAATGAATAAATGCAGAATAAATAGAATTTTCCCAAACCGTGTAACTTCGCAGCTTTAAAGGGCCCGTCCAGAAACCGTCTGCAGCAGCTTTAAAGGGCCCGTCCAGAAACCGTCTGCAGCAGCTTTAAAGGGCCCGTCCAGAAACCGTCTGCAGCAGCTTTAAAGGGCCCGTCCAGAAACCGTCTGAGCAGCTTTAAAGGGCCCGTCCAGAAACCGTCTGTAGCAGCTTTAAAGGGCCCGTCCAGAAACCGTCTGCAGCAGCTTTAAAGGGCCCGTCCAGAAACCGTCTGCAGCAGCTTTAAAGGGCCCGTCCAGAAACCGTCTGCAGCAGCTTTAAAGGGCCCGTCCAGAAACCGTCTGCAGCAGCTTTAAAGGGCCCGTCCAGAAACCGTCTGCAGCAGCTTTAAAGGGCCCGTCCAGAAACCGTCTGCAGCAGCTTTAATATATTGCAGTAAGTGGAAACGGGAACTACTTTATCTCTGTGGCTTCTTTCCCGAGGTGGAGAATAGAGCGTCCTCCCACACAAGGTGACGGCCGCCGGAATGTGATTATGGGAGAAGAGTCGATCAGAGACTATCCAATCGATGTGCCGGCTGAGGCCGACACGCAGGATTTAATAAAGCACGGCCTGATGAAGGCGCCGCAGGATCACCTCTGACTGATCACGTTACGGGCCCTAACATCTATCAGCATAGGCTCCTCATTCACTTTAAACAGAAGGTCTACAACAAAGTGCTGTAGACGTGAGGACCTGTGTGTGCAAGGTCTGAGTCTGTCATTGGGCTGCAATCAAGGTGAGATATAGATCGATAGATATAGATAGACAGATGGATGGATCTTTCTATCCTGTCGGAGAAGTTCAGGTCTCCCCCCTTATCTAACTTCTTATAGTAGAAGAAGTGGTTTATACACGGAGATATAGTAGAAGAAGAAGTGGTTTATACACGGAGATATAGTAGAAGAAGAAGCGGTTTATACACGGAGATATAGTAGAAGAAGAAGTGGTTTATACACAGAGATATAGTAAAAGAAGAAGCATCTTTTTGTGCGGTGTACGCTTGTAGCAACCGCACAAATAGAGAAAAGACCAGAGTTTGTTCATGTTCCAACTGTGGTCTCATATAAAGGAGCACACTTTGAAAAAAATCACTGGAATGAGGCGGGCGAGGTGGATCAAGGCTTTCCCAGATAAGCGCCACCTGCAGGCCACCCCAATGAAACGCACCAAATTCTTCTGGTTTTTTTTCTCCAAAAATGCCCAAAATCAAGACTCTTTTGATAAATATTTGTTAGTACTTCCTTAGAATTGAGCGTCCCCGATAAAGACTGTTCCAACAACCGTACACCGCACAGGAGGAGAGCCTCTGACTCCAAAACAGACTTTACATGGTTTTCAATGGAAGCAACACTGTCCCATCTCTGCTCATGCGCCCCCTACTGGCCAGTTTCATGAAACACAAGAATTCCTGAATCCTTTCCCAGTTCAATCACTAATAAACACATCCTCTCCTTGTCTTGTCCTAGAGTCTGATGTTCTCCACAGACAAAGCGTTTATATAATCTGAAAACCAGCTTCTGTCCGGCCGAGCGTGTGTCCCGCCCCCTCCCGCAGAGATCGTTCTGGTTCAGACTGACAGACACTGACAGGACTGCACCGAGCAAGGCACAGAGCTGCGGCCGGAGCACCCAAAGGTCTCGGACAGATGATGGGTGCTGTCGGCCCACGCACGGCCCAGATCCGTTTGGTGACAAGCGCTGTCCGATCGGCTGCACTTCAACTCGCCTCGCTGCCTCCCGAGAAACAAACACGCACTTTTCAACCTGTCAAAGCAAATCTCTGTGTCCTGTGTTTACTCCACTCGCTTTTCTAATATCTATCGGCACTTTGTACGAGAAGATAAGGATGAGAGAAAACTTTATTTGTTCCTCTGTGGAAATGTCAAAGTCGTAATTGTGCACATTATGATATTAGTAGATGTCATTCTTCTTCACTGGCTGTAAATGCTTCATAAGAGCCACAGGTAAATATCAATATACATTTATACAGTATAGACCAAAAGTTTGGACACACCTTCTCAAGAGTTTTCTTCATGACTATCAAAATTGTAGATTGACACTGAGGGCATCAAACCTATGAATGAACTCATGTGAATTATGTTTGTAGTAAAAAAGTATGAACCAAGTGTAAATATGTGTTTTATTCTGGTTCTTCAAAGCAGCTCCTTTTGCTCTGATGCTGCTTCACTCTTGGCATTCTCTGGATGAGCTTCAACAGGACCTGAAATGGTCTCCAACAGTCTGGAAGGAGTTCCCATGATGCTTAGCACTTGTTGGCCCCTTCACTCTGTGGTCCAGCCCCAAAACCATCTGGACTGGGTTCAGGTCCAAAACCATCTGGACTGGGTTCAGGTCCAAAACCATCTGGACTGGGTTCAGGTCCAAAACCATCTGGACTGGGTTCAGGTCCAAAACCATCTGGACTGGGTTTAGGTCCAAAACCATCTGGACTGGGTTCAGGTCCAAAGCCATCTGGACTGGGTTCAGGTCCAAAACCATCTGGACTGGGTTCAGGTCCAAAACCATCTGGACTGGGTTTAGGTCCAAAACCATCTGGACTGGGTTCAGGTCCAAAGCCATCTGGACTGGGTTCAGGTCCAAAGCCATCTGGACTGGGTTTAGGTCCAAAACCATCTGGACTGGGTTCAGGTCCAAAACCATCTGGACTGGGTTCAGGTCCAAAACCATCTGGACTGGGTTTAGGTCCAAAACCATCTGGACTGGGTTCAGGTCCAAAGCCATCTGGACTGGGTTCAGGTCCAAAGCCATCTGGACTGGGTTCAGGTCCAAAACCATCTGGACTGGGTTCAGGTCCAAAACCATCTGGACTGGGTTCAGGTCCAAAGCCATCTGGACTGGGTTCAGGTCCAAAACCATCTGGACTGGGTTCAGGTCCAAAACCATCTGGACTGGGTTTAGGTCCAAAACCATCTGGACTGGGTTCAGGTCCAAAGCCATCTGGACTGGGTTCAGGTCCAAAACCATCTGGACTGGGTTCAGGTCCAAAACCATCTGGACTGGGTTCAAGTCCAGAACCATCTGGACTGGGTTCAGGTCCAAAGCCATCTGGACTGGGTTCAGGTCCAAAACCATCTGGACTGGGTTCAGGTCCAAAACCATCTGGACTGGGTTCAGGTCCAAAGCCATCTGGACTGGGTTCAGGTCCAAAGCCATCTGGACTGGGTTCAGGTCCAAAACCATCTGGACTGGGTTCAGGTCCAAAACCATCTGGACTGGGTTCAGGTCCAAAGCCATCTGGACTGGGTTCAGGTCCAAAACCATCTGGACTGGGTTTAGGTCCAAAACCATCTGGACTGGGTTCAGGTCCAAAACCATCTGGACTGGGTTCAAGTCCGGTCTCTCTCCTTATTGGTCAAACAGCCCTTACACAGCCTGGTGCGGGTCTACAGAAATAGTCATGAACAGAACTCAGTGAAGGAGAGAGGGTGTCCACACTTTTGCTCTGTGCTGTGTATCTGTCTACAGCAGACATGTCCAAACTCAGGCCCGCGAGCCAATTGCGGCCCTTGGTGTAATTTTATGTGGCCCTTCTGCTGCTAATGCAAAGTCTCCATTGAGGCACTTTGACTGTGTCATCCAACCAACTTCAGCTTCACCAGTACACTCAAGCTGTTGTAAATCTCAGACTTGGAATCCAGTCGTGGACTTTATTGTCACAACATTCCAAATAAAACGCAGCTGTGGTGTGAAGGACGTATCATAACCCATTTTAAATTCCAGAATCCAGTTTGAATCCAGTTTTTTAAATCCAGGCTAAGGAAGTCTGATGAACTAAACTGGCCCTCTGCTGAAAAGTTTGGACACCCCTTAACTACAGACAGACGTTGAATCTTTCCCTTTGTGTGAGATTGTCTGTGATTTTTTTCTAACACCAAATAGCAATTTAAAAGGACCACAATTATAAATCTGAAATAATACTTTCACAAAATCAAATGTCCTTGTCTTGTTAAAAATCCACTAACCCTGTCATTTAAACCTTTCAACGCCTTTAGCACTGGTGAACGCAGCTCCCTCTGTGTTCTTCAAAACCATTATTCTCTTGGATAAAACTGTAAAATGAACTTTAGTCACTATTCCCTGATGCTATTTCCCCACAGGAGAGCAAAAACCTGGAAGTGCAATATGCTACACAAAAATGACTAAAATGGCATAATGAAGAAGCAAGTATAAAACATTAAAGTTACTCTGAGTAATGTTTACAGTTGCTACAAACGTAAAAAACATGTTTTAAGATCATTTACCTCCACCATGTTTTTGAATTGTCATAGGCTGAGAATGTGACTTATAAATGTCCATGAGGCTGAGGACTCTCTCTGTGAAGCCGCCATCTTGAACTACAGAGGCTGATAAGGGACAAAAAGGAGTTTGAGCAGAAGTTTGGGACCTCTGTCAAAGACCACATATTGTCCTGTGAAGCTAAAGTAGTGCTGTAAATATGATCTCAACGCTAGATGGGAGTGAAAACTACACACTGAACCGGTACCTTGGGCAGCACGGTGGCTGAGTGGTTAGCACTCTCACTCCTCAGCAAGAAAGTCCTGGGAACGAACCCTGGCCAGAACAGGGTCTTTCTGAGTGGAATTTGTAAGTTCTCCTCGTGTCTGCGTAGGTTTCCTCCAAGTGCTCCAATTTCCCCTACCACTGAAAACAGGTCTGTGCCTCCTGTACTGGCCTGTGTGAGAGAGAGAGAGACAAACGGCCACCATTGTAAACCGCTTTGACTCTGGTCTGTGAAAGATGCTATATAAATAAAGATGACTTACTTACGTAACAATAATTATTTAACTCTGTAATGACACCAGGCCTCTAGCACCGTGTGGAAATGACAGAATTGCCCTCGCACACGATGGGAAAGCCCCTTGCCCTCTGATTATGATTAAGATTATTATTAAGATTAAGATTAAGGATCTTTCATTCGTCCCACTGCGGTCTCTGGGTCTGAAGCCGTCTCTGGGTCTGAGGCCGTCTCTGGGTCTGAGGCCGTCTCTGGGTCTGAAGCCGTCTCTGGGTCTGAAGCCGTCTCTGGGTCTGAGGCCGTCTCTGGGTCTGAAGCCGTCTCTGGGTCTGAAGCCGTCTCTGGGTCTGAGACCGTCCCTGGGTCTGAGGCCGTCTCTGGGTCTGAGGCCGTCTCTGGGTCTGAAGCCGTCTCTGGGTCTGAAGCCGTCTCTGGGTCTGAGGCCGTCTCTGGGTCTGAAGCCGTCTCTGGGTCTGAAGCCGTCTCTGGGTCTGAAGCCGTCTCTGGGTCTGAGACCGTCCCTGGGTCTGAGGCCGTCTCTGGGTCTGAGGCCGTCTCTGGGTCTGAGGCCGTCTCTGGGTCTGAGACCGTCCCAGGGTCTGAAGCCGTCTCTGGGTCTGAGGCCGTCTCTGGGTCTGAAGCCGTCTCTGGGTCTGAAGCCGTCTCTGGGTCTGAAGCCGTCTCTGGGTCTGAGGCCGTCTCTGGGTCTGAAGCCGTCTCTGGGTCTGAAGCCGTCTCTGGGTCTGAAGCCGTCTCTGGGTCTGAAGCCGTCTCTGGGTCTGAGGCCGTCTCTGGGTCTGAAGCCGTCTCTGGGTCTGAAGCCGTCTCTGGGTCTGAAGCCGTCTCTGGGTCTGAGACCGTCCCTGGGTCTGAGGCCGTCCCTGGGTCTGAGGCCGTCTCTGGGTCTGAAGCCGTCTCTGGGTCTGAGGCCGTCTCTGGGTCTGAAGCCGTCTCTGGGTCTCAGGCCGTCTCTGGGTCTGAGACCGTCCCTGGGTCTGAGGCCGTCTCTGGGTCTGAGGCCGTCTCTGGGTCTGAAGCCGTCTCTGGGTCTGAGGCCGTCTCTGGGTCTGAAGCCGTCTCTGGGTCTCAGGCCGTCTCTGGGTCTGAGGTCGTCTCTGGGTCCGAAGCAGTCTCTGGGGTCTGAGGCCGTCTCTGGGTCTGAAGCCGTCTCTGGGTCTGAGGCCGTCTCTGGGTCTGAGGCCGTCTCTGGGTCTGAAGCCGTCTCTGGGTCTGAAGCCGTCTCTGGGTCTGAGACCGTCCCTGGGTCTGAGGCCGTCTCTGGGTCTGAGGCCGTCTCTGGGTCTGAAGCCGTCTCTGGGTCTGAAGCCGTCTCTGGGTCTGAGGCCGTCTCTGGGTCTGAAGCCGTCTCTGGGTCTGAAGCCGTCTCTGGGTCTGAAGCCGTCTCTGGGTCTGAGACCGTCCCTGGGTCTGAGGCCGTCTCTGGGTCTGAGGCCGTCTCTGGGTCTGAGGCCGTCTCTGGGTCTGAGACCGTCCCAGGGTCTGAAGCCGTCTCTGGGTCTGAGGCCGTCTCTGGGTCTGAAGCCGTCTCTGGGTCTGAAGCCGTCTCTGGGTCTGAAGCCGTCTCTGGGTCTGAGGCCGTCTCTGGGTCTGAAGCCGTCTCTGGGTCTGAAGCCGTCTCTGGGTCTGAAGCCGTCTCTGGGTCTGAAGCCGTCTCTGGGTCTGAGGCCGTCTCTGGGTCTGAAGCCGTCTCTGGGTCTGAAGCCGTCTCTGGGTCTGAAGCCGTCTCTGGGTCTGAGACCGTCCCTGGGTCTGAGGCCGTCCCTGGGTCTGAGGCCGTCTCTGGGTCTGAAGCCGTCTCTGGGTCTGAGGCCGTCTCTGGGTCTGAAGCCGTCTCTGGGTCTCAGGCCGTCTCTGGGTCTGAGACCGTCCCTGGGTCTGAGGCCGTCTCTGGGTCTGAGGCCGTCTCTGGGTCTGAAGCCGTCTCTGGGTCTGAGGCCGTCTCTGGGTCTGAAGCCGTCTCTGGGTCTCAGGCCGTCTCTGGGTCTGAGGTCGTCTCTGGGTCCGAAGCCGTCTCTGGGTCTGAGGCAGTCTCTGGGTCTGAGGCCGTCTCTGGGTCTGAAGCCGTCTCTGGGTCTGAGGCCGTCTCTGGGTCTGAGGCCGTCTCTGGGTCTCAGGCCGTCTCTGGGTCTGAAGCCGTCTCTGGGTCTGAAGCCGTCTCTGGGTCTGAGGCCGTCTCTGGGTCTGAGGCCGTCTCTGGGTCTGAGGCAGTCTCTGGGTCTGAGGCCGTCTCTGGGTCTCAGGCCGTCTCTGGGTCTGAGGCCGTCTCTGGGTCTCAGGCCGTCTCTGGGTCTCAGGCCGTCTCTGGGTCTGAGGCCGTCTCTGGGTCTCAGGCCGTCTCTGGGTCTCAGGCCGTCTCTGGGTCTGAGGCCGTCTCTGGGTCTGAGGCCGTCTCTGGGTCTCAGGCCGTCTCTGGGTCTGAAGCCGTCTCTGGGTCTCAGGCCGTCTCTGGGTCTCAGGCCGTCTCTGGGTCTGAGGCCGTCTCTGGGTCTCAGGCCGTCTCTGGGTCTCAGGCCGTCTCTGGGTCTGAGGCCGTCTCTGGGTCTGAGGCCGTCTCTGGGTCTGAGGCAGTCTCTGGGTCTGAGGCCGTCTCTGGGTCTGAGGCCGTCTCTGGGTCTCAGGCCGTCTCTGGGTCTGAGGCCGTCTCTGGGTCTCAGGCCGTCTCTGGGTCTCAGGCCGTCTCTGGGTCTCAGGCCGTCTCTGGGTCTGAGGCCGTCTCTGGGTCTCAGGCCGTCTCTGGGTCTCAGGCCGTCTCTGGGTCTGAGGCAGTCTCTGGGTCTGAGGCCGTCTCTGGGTCTGAGGCCGTCTCTGGGTCTGAGGCCGTCTCTGGGTCTGAGGCAGTCTCTGGGTCTGAGGCCGTCTCTGGGTCTGAGGCCGTCTCTGGGTCTGAAGCCGTCTCTGGGTCTCAGGCCGTCTCTGGGTCTCAGGCCGTCTCTGGGTCTGAGGCCGTCTCTGGGTCTCAGGCCGTCTCTGGGTCTCAGGCCGTCTCTGGGTCTCAGGCCGTCTCTGGGTCTGAGGCCGTCTCTGGGTCTGAGGCCGTCTCTGGGTCTCAGGCCGTCTCTGGGTCTCAGGCCGTCTCTGGGTCTCAGGCCGTCTCTGGGTCTCAGGCCGTCTCTGGGTCTCAGGCGGTCTCTGGGTCTGAGGCCGTCTCTGGGTCTCAGGCCGTCTCTGGGTCTCAGGCCGTCTTTGGGTCTCAGGCCGTCTCAGGCCGTCTCTGGGTGTGAGGCCGTCTCTGGGTGTGAGGCCGTCTCTGGGTCTCAGGCCGTCTCTGGGTCTCAGGCCGTCTCTGGGTCTCAGGCCGTCTCTGGGTCTCAGGCCGTCTCTGGGTCTCAGGCCGTCTCTGGGTCTCAGGCCGTCTCTGGGTCTCAGGCCGTCTCTGGGTCTCAGGCCGTCTCTGGGTCTCAGGCCGTCTCTGGGTCTCAGGCCGTCCCCCTCTCTCTCTCTGGTTCTCGGCTCATTTGGTTTGTCGCCAAGTGCGTCCAACATTAATCTGCGACTCTGACTGCGTGAGCCTCTGCCATCGGAAATGTTCAAGCTGACGCCTGTGCTGTTGTACCAGTCTATATTTCAAGAAGTCCGTCTCGAGCCGAGTCATAATTTAGACTCAAATTCATAATTCTGCACTAACAGCGATGGATGGAAACAACTCGCAGAAGTAATAGTGCTGCGTGTGCATTTCAGAAACCTGGACTGTAGTGCTGTGTCCCGGATAAACAATGAAGGAGCCAAAAGCAGAACTGCAAAAATCATATAGTTTAATTGATGAGATAAATTCAAAAATAAAAACCAGGGACAAGACAGAGCGAATAAACAACAAGCAAAAAATCAACAGTAAGTAAGTAATGTTTATTTATACAGCTCTTTTTACAGACCAAGGTCACCCAAAACGCTTTCCAAGGTTCAGAAATCAGATATGTTTTCATTCACAGTCACGGTGATGACGGAAGCGTGCATCAAAGCCCCCAACCAACACCATCCATTCATTCATTACATTCAGACCTATTGTACATGTTTTTAGTGGTAGGGGAAACCGGAGCACCCGGAGGAAACCTAGAGAGAACATGTAAACTCCACTCAGAAAGGCCCTGTTCGAACCCAGGACCATCTTGCTGAGAAACAAGAATGCTAACCACTCAGCCACCGTGCCGCTCAGGACAGACAGGAAGTAAAATTCACAACAGCACAAATAGATATCAAAATAAAGCATGACATGTACAGTGTGGCAGCAGTCGTCTTGAAGGACTTTACAACGTTCTCCACCTTCCTCCACAACAGATCAGAGAATCAAAAAGTTCACACACAAGAAACACAAAGACATAGGGAGCAGGATGTCCATAAATGTTGATAAATGTCCTGGATCATCTCTGTCCTTAGACCCTCCTGCATCAACACGGAGCACTGACAACGTGGGATCCATCAGTGGGAAAAGAGAGAAAGTGACAATACTTTGCTACTGGAATGTTCTGATTTTGGCTACTTTACAAACAAGTCCGGGAGGAGTTCAGAAATCCACGCACAATGTCCGGACTCCTTCCATTGCCTTGAAGAAGTCCCATAACCAGCTATTAGTGCGACATCAAAGACTGTTGCATGATTCTGATTTGACCAGAAGGAAGACCAAGCAATCCAAGAGTTCAATCTGAATAACATTTATTTCTTGTTACAGTTCAATACTAACACAAAACTCTTGAGCTCCTAAGTCCCTAACTATCCCTAACTCTATACTCATCGTCTCTGCTCGAGGCAAAGCACATTTCTGTTTATAGTACAATCATAAATATTCACAGTACATTAAAAGAAAGATAGAAATATAAAATGCTCAGACGGCTCTAGCACGGATTTTGCACCAATCTATAAAAAATACACAAATACAGAGGAGGTGGGGACAGTGTGGATGGTTCTATATCTGCTGAAGGTGCTCCATAAGAAGATTATCTGACCACGAAGCCATGACACGCTCAAGTCTACGGTTACGCACATAAAACTGTCTTTCACATCTGGTCTTCACTCTGGAACACGTGAACGCAAAACACACACAACATACAAGAAAACATGGTAACACTTTAGATTAGCCCTCACTAATTAACAGCTATAATGTGAAAATGAGGTTACCCTAACCCACATGGTAAAGTGTCAGTTAGTAGTTAGTTAGATGTAGCCTGGTCTTATCCATCCGTACTCTCCGGTCAATCATCATGTCCTGCAGGTAACGTCTGGGTCTGGTCCCTGTGTCAGCGAATACAATCGGTGGAATTCCATCCGACCAATCAGAGAGCGCGGGAGGCGGGTGTTGTAGTTAGATGACGGTGACGTCAAGAGTTTGCGTCGATTGAGCAGGTTGTAGTTTGACGAAGACTGTGATAGTAAAGTAATCTGGTCTGGTTCTATCAAGAAACTGAAGCCGGAGCAAGAGGAATGTTTAGCAAATGTAATCTCTGCAAAGATAGTGGCGCTACTCCCCACGGGCTCCGTTAGCGGCAAAGGAGATGGCTAAAGCTAGGCTAAAGGCTAAATGCTAACAACTCACTCGGGCTCATTACATACGTCACGGTAAACTCAGATCCAATGGTTTCAATCTGCAAAAGGAGTTAGCCCCTCCCACCTGTTACGGAGTCAATGGAGCAAATCCAGACCTTAGTATGAAATGAAATTTGTACTATGGTGTGGTACGACCAGGCTACATTAGATGTAGAATAAGGACTGAATAAGTGCTTAATAAATACCAATTAAGAGATAATTAACCATTACCATACACAAATTAGCACGTCATTTGCTGTTAATTAGTCAGGGCTAGACCAAAGCGTGACTGAAAACATTGATGTTATTCCACATCAAAACAAAAACACTGTATGACTGTTGTAGAATCACATTTAAAAATTAGATAAATGTTGATCCATGAGATTAAAGAGATTAGAAGATTTTCTGTAATTAATATTCACACAACTCTGACAACAATGTGTGAGTACAACAGTGTCTGCTCAGCACTAACATAAAGAAAGTGTCGCGTACTGATGGAGTTCTGAACACAAACACCCGAGAAAAACACACAAGCACCAAGTTTTAATGTGATGATGCAACACGTTTCTCAATGACTCATTCAACCTTTCCCTCCAAACGTTTCTCTGTTGTAATTCATGTTTAAAGGAGTCAAACCACATGAGCAACAGAGAGAGTAGACTAAAGTTTGGGCTGTCAGACTCTGCAGAGGACAGGGGCGGAGCTCAGGGCCAGACAGGGGCGGAGCTCAGGGCCAGACTGGGGCGGAGCTCAGGGCCAGACAGGGGCGGAGCTCAGGGCCAGACAGGGGCGGAGCTCAGGGGCAGAGCTCAGGGCCAGACAGGGGCGGAGCTCAGGGCCAGACAGGGGCAGAGCTCAGGGCCAGACAGGGGCGGAGCTCAGGGCCAGACAGGGGCGGAGCTCAGGGCCAGACAGGGGCGGAGCTCAGGGCCAGACAGGGGCGGAGCTCAGGGCCAGACAGGGGCGGAGCTCAGGGCCAGACAGGGGCGGAGCTCAGGGCCAGACAGGGGCGGAGCTCAGGGCCAGACAGGGGCGGAGCTCAGGGCCAGACAGGGGCGGAGCTCAGGGCCAGACAGGGGCAGAGCTCAGGGCCAGACAGGGGCGGAGCTCAGGACCCGAGCTTAGGGCCAGACAGGGGCGGAGCTCAGGGCCAGACTTCTTTGTCCGTATGACTTTTGTTTTCCTTGCCGCGGGTCCAGAGACAGCGGCGATGATCCCAGACGTTCCACTCCCAAAGATATTTATGAACGTCTTTTAACATTCACGGACATTGCTCCTCTGTGTGTTTTTGGTTGCTGCATTTCCCATGTTTGAACTTTTTGATTCTCTGATCTGTGTTGACGAATCGACAGCTTTGTAAAGTCCTCTGAGATAGATGGATAGATACAGATAGATAGATCTTCGTAGGAGAAATTCACATGTCCAGTAGCAGCCAAAATAAAAAATGAAATGGATCATTCTAAAAACGTAGATAAAAACTGTTGTGATTTAGGGCAATAGAGAAATGAAATGTAAGGCTTGAGGGCCTACTTGGGGATTTATCTGGACGTCCTTCGATGAGAAGTCTTAAAGCTCAAGCCACTCACACAGAGGCGTCCAAACTCACCCTGCTGCCCTCTGGTTCTTTAAAGGTAAAGTTATCTGACAGCTCCGTAAAGTTTTTTTTCCAAAGGACCCCACTGCGTACATAGCTGCCCCTGCACCTGCCTGTTCACAAATCGATTTCGGTGAAAAAAAATCACAGAGGTCCGACGGGCCTGACTCCGAAATCAGAAAAAGTACATTCTTTTTCTTATCATATGTTGTCTTCTTCTTTGTGCTTCTAGACTTACTTCCATGAGACGGGGACGCTGTGTATTGGTCAAGACCTCGTTATTGTTTTAGATACAGTTTTTCAGACACATTCAATTAAAATGTCTTCTGTTGTTCAGTGTCTGATGGGTTTAGCATTTTAATTGAATGGCCTCTGGGTTTTATAAAATACATTTACATTTGTGTATAGTGCATTGATAATAAACTGAACTATAGAGACAAACATATACACACAGGTGTATTTTGTAAGTTTGATTGGTTCTTGTTGTCGGCCGCCGCAAATATCACTTTGGCGAGATGAGCGAGGAATGCATTCAGGTGATAAATTGTTTTTTGCACACGGCTCTTACTTTGTCATATGTTAATAATTGCATTTATTTTTTTCAATTGGCAAAAAATAATCTCTTGAAAGGCTGCGGGAGTGAATATTGTTGAATAAAAGTAAAAACATTTGTGACATTTGTGTTGACTTTGAAGCAGAGCCAGTCAAAGAGACGCAGTAGAAACATTTGACCAATTGAAGCAAATCAAATGAGCTTTTGGGGGTTTCAGATGGACCCCAGAGACGTTTTTAATTTACTGCCTTTTAAAGGGTCAGGCAGGTGGCAGACAAAAGTTGCATAATGCTCTGTCAAGATTGGTTTCTCTAATTCACTGCATTCATGCCTGAAAGAGAGAAAATTAACATATTCTGTGTGAATAGATTATTTTTTTGCTTTCATTAAACTTTGCTTTGCTTTTTGACTGTGTCGCGAGTAACGAAGAACAAAAGTCATGTGTTTCTTTTTGCTGTAACGTGGTAATGTAAAGTATTCCAACAAAAAGTCTGGGTAATATTTAGCCTGGTCGTACCACACCATAGTACAAAGTACATTTCGTACTAAGGTCTGGATTTGCTCCATTGACTCTGTTAACAGGTGGGAGGGGCTAACTCCTTTTGCAGATTGAAACGATTGGATCTGAGTTTACTGTGACGTATGTAATGAGCCCGAGTGAGTCGTTAGCATGTAGCATTTAGCCCTAGCCTTAGCCATCTACTTTAGTAGCATCTACTAATCTTTGCCAGCAATGACTTTAGCTAAACTTTCCTCTTGCTCCGGCTTCAGTTTCTTGATAGAACCAGACCAGAATACTTTACTATTGCATTCTTTACCAAACTACAACCTGCCCGTTCGACGCAAACTCTGACGTCACCCACATCTAACTACAGCACCCGCCTCCCGCGCTCTCTGATTGGTCGGATGGAATTCAACAGATTGTTGAACCGTTAAATACAGGGCAATGATTATTGACCGGAGAGTACGGATGGATAAGATCAGGGTAGGTATTTGACTCGGTACAAATGTCAGTAAAGTCAAATTGAATTGTGTTTTCATTTGTATAAGCTCCCTGTACGACTGAGAGCTTACACAAACTTAAATTGTTTTTATACTATGCCACGGCGAGATGAGCAGAGGAGAACAATTTTGTGTCAATAGTTGTTGCACTAGTATTGAATTTTGTAAATGCTGTCAAATCGTCACATTTTCGAGTGTGATTATCTGATCAACGAGGGAGGCGCAGACAGTTTAGGGTCATCCATGATTTTCAGTCTTTAATGCAGCAAAAGCCTTTCTCACTGATCTGTCTGGTTTGGTTTCATGGACAGGTAAAGCTGTGTGTCTCTAACAGTGAAGGTTAATGTCATGTTTTTAATGATGTTTCCTAATGGCAGCATGCAGAGTGTGAAGAGAGATGGTGGTGGTGGGAGGGGCTGATGTCAGTGTGCCCCAGGGCAGCTGTGGCTACAGTAGTAGTTTATCACCACCGTGTTTGTAGTGAAAGAATAAAGTGTTTTTGAGTGTCCAGAAAAGCGCTGTATAAAACCGATGCATTATTATTATTATTATCAGCAGCTTGTAGTGAGTAATTTGTGCTTTTGACTAGTGCTTTCTCAGTCTTTGATAAGCTCTGGATCATGATTAGGTTTTGGCAGTATATTTCAGGCTTGATATTGCCGTGGCGGTTTGTTAGTGCGATGCTGCTGAACAAAAATCCAGTTATTTTTATTCACTCTCTTCTATTAACCAACCGCCTGTGAGCTCCTGGCTGTCACGCAGGCACTTAGCGGGCCCTCAGCGCTGCGAGGGCCTGACACCAGTGGCCCTTTCCCCAGGCAAGAGCTCCGACGTGGGCTGCTGTTAGAGGACCCCCCCTCTCTCTGCTGCTCGGCTGGAGGAGAGGGCAAGGTCAGAGCCATGGAGGAAATGAACTGTCCCCCAGCTGGGCCTCTCCGCCTCCCTCGCTTCAGTACACTTCAGGGGCTTCACAAGAGGAGGTCGTCTGTGTTATTTTGAAGAAGGGTTTTTATACATAGACACAATCATAGACATGTACAGGTGTCTGAGTGATGGAGACTGAGGAGATGGACAAACAAATACATCTTTTGAATGCGAAAAGTCACTCACATGTTTTCACACCATGGAACAGGCATGAGTTTGTTTGAATCCTAATGCTAACTTATAATGCTAATCCTAATAAATAAATTGTAAAAAGGGATTCAGAAAGTTAAAAACACAAATCAGGCTTACTCAGTTCTATCCATAAATCAAAATGTTTTTCTTTCATTACATTTCTGCCTTAAGACAAACCTTTAATCTCCTAATATTAGAGTTAGAGACGTCATACTTGCTGCTTCATTATGCAAAACTTTTTTAAATTATAGTTATTATGCATTTAAGTCGTGCTGTGTGCTCCTCATTCCTCCTGTTCTGTAACTGTTGATGCAACACTGACATTTCTCCACTGTGGGATCAATATTTCTTTACCAGCTCAGGTTTAGGGAAAGAGCATCAGACTAATAAATTCCCGTCAGTACTTGTGCAAAATATTGTGTGTTTGGATCCACCATTTGGGCACTAGTCATTGTTCTGGATACTTCTAAGAGACTTCTCACTGGTTTGAACAGAAGGGAGCACATCACCCCGGTGTTAGCGTCCCTCCACTGGCTCCCTGTGCGTTTTAGAATTGATTTTAAGATTTCACTGATTACTTTTAAAGCTCGTCTGGCTTTGAACCCCCTACGAGCCCTTCCCCCGCAGACTCAGATCCTCTGGCAGGTCCCAGTGATCGCGCCTTCTCTGTCCGGGCTCCTCCACTTTGGAACCACCTGCCTGAGGGGATAAAGCTAGCACCAATTGTATCTCGTTTTAAATCACTTTTTTTATCGAACAGGTTTTAACTGTTAGTTTTAAACTTCACATTTGTCTTTCTTGTTGTCTGTCAGCTTCATTCTGCTCTGTTTATTTTACCGCTGTATACTGACTGTGCAGCGCTTTGTAAACACTGTTTTTTTTTAAAGTGCTACACAAACAAATATGTATTATTATTATTAAAGATTTTACTGTAAATAGACTTTACAGAATTATAATTTTTCTCCACATTCCTTTGAAAGAACGCCAGCATTATATTACGTAGAGAGATTTGCCAAAGTTTGCCAAATATCGATGTGGTTCAGAGATCACAGTCAAGTCCAGTTTTAGATTTTCAGACTGTGATAGCTTTTATAATTTCATTTAAACATAAGCAGACATTAAATCATTGCACGAGAGAAACCTTTACATTCGCTCTCGGATTGACTTCAGCCACAGCTTGTTAAAACGCTTCTACTGTAGCACTGGGCAGCACCGACAGTATATATGGCACCATCGGGCTCATAATGAAAGGTGAGAAGTATTGTTGTGTCAGCAGATCCACCGTATGGCTCCCACATCACCGCGGGCAACGGTGGTTAGGGAGGGGCTCTCAGTCCTGCCCCGAGTCTATGTGTGAACTCTGACTGAACCGTTGGACAACAGGTGCTGGGAGTAGGCGTAGGGGTAATGGTAGTAGAGGTATAGTAGTATTAGGGGTAGTAGAGGGAGTAAGGGTGATAGTAGTAATCATAGTAGTAGTAGGAGTAGCAGAAGTTGTAGGAGTAGAAGTAGTAGTGGGGGTAGAAGTGATAGTAGGGGTAGTAGTAGGAGTAAGGGTAGTAGAAGAAGTAGAAGCAGTAGGGGTAGTAGTAGTAGTAGTAGTAGGAGTAAGGGTAGTAGTAGTAGTAGGGGTAGTAGTAAGAGTAGAAGTAGTAGGGGTAGTAGTAGTAGTAGGGGTAGTAGTAGGAGAAAGAGTAGTAGTAGGAGTAGAAGTAGTAGGGGTAGTAGTAGGAGTAAGGGTAGTAGTAGGAGTAGAAGTAGTAGGGGTAGTAGTAGGAGTAAGGGTAGTAGTAGGAGTAGAAGTAGTAGGGGTAGTAGTAGGAGTAAGGGTAGTAGTAGGAGTAGAAGTAGTAGGGGTAGTTGTAGGAGTAAGGGTAGTAGAAGTAGTAGGGGTAGTAGTAGGAGTAGAAGTAGTAGTAGTAGGAGTAAGGGTAGTAGTAGGAGTAAGGGTAGTAGTAGTAGTAGGGGTAGTAGTAGGAGTAGAAGTAGTAGGGGTAGTAGTAGTAGTAGGGGTAGTAGTAGGAGTAAGAGTAGTAGTAGGAGTAGAAGTAGTAGGGGTAGTAGTAGGAGTAAGGGTAGTAGTAGGAGTAGAAGTAGTAGGGGTAGTAGTAGGAGTAAGGGTAGTAGTAGGAGTAGAAGTAGTAGGGGTAGTAGTAGGAGTAAGGGTAGTAGTAGGAGTAGAAGTAGTAGGGGTAGTAGTAGGAGTAAGGGTAGTAGTAGGAGTAGAAGTAGTAGGGGTAGTTGTAGGAGTAAGGGTAGTAGAAGTAGTAGGGGTAGTAGTAGGAGTAGAAGTAGTAGTAGTAGGAGTAAGGGTAGTAGTAGGAGTAAGGGTAGTAGTAGGAGTAAGGGTAATAGTAGGAGTAGAAGTAGTAGGGGTAGTAGTGAATATGAATATTTGAATATTTTTTATTTAAGTGTCGTACACATACAGTATGTGCCCAGCCCTCATGGGCTTATATGACACTATCAACAGAAAGGAAGATAAAGCCACAAAACATACAGATGCAGTTACTCTCTCTCTGGATATAAAGTCCTTTGTCTCAATGTCCAAGCCTTTTCTACAAAATTTGCTACTGTAAAAAAATCATTTTCAAATATCCAACACAATCTATCACCATCAGAAAGCCAAAACAAATCAGGATTTTTACATTGAATATTTGTGAATAAAACCATTCTCAATGCATTGTACAAAGGACAGTAAAACAAAAAATGAAATTCATCCTCCACTACTCCCAGCTCACACAGAGCACACAGTCTACCATCTTGTGGAACCCCCTTGTAACGCCCCACCTCTACCTCCAGGGGCAGCACTCCTGCTCTGAGCTGAGCACACAGAGACCTCTGCCCTTTTCTCAGATTACATTTTACATATTTTTCTGTAGCAAAACAACTCTTAAACTGGACGTAAGTTCTGAGCTTGGTTTTTTGCAAAACTTTCACGTTCCATTCTTCCTCATAAATATCATTTAGCATTTGCCTTAGAGTTGTCAATTTACACTGTAGATTATTTTGAAATAAGTAATCCAATTCAACTTCTGACAATATCTGGAACACCTCTCTGGACCAAGGGTATCTGTGGCTTTTGTCCCAATTAAAAATCTTCCTTGTAATTCTGTCCTCTGGTAGCTGAACAAGGCGGTTCCACAATCTGATCATCTCTACCTTCTGTTTGACTACACATGGTTCCCAACCCATATCACCCTCTATCGCCGCTCTGGGGGTAAACCTATGAACTCCTAGGAAATATCTCATGGCCCTGCCTTGTATATTATTACACTCTGGAGCCTCTCCAAAGCCCCAGACGCCTGCACTATAAAAGAGTATAGATCCCACCATTGAATCGAACAGTTGTGTATAAATAGTAAAACTTAAATCAGGAAAGATCTTCATCTTATTAATAACAGCGCCTAAGGCCCTCCCTGCAGACTCTGCTAGTATCTTTCTACCCTCCGAAAAACTCATGTTCTCATGAAAACCAAAGCCAAGATACTTATAGGTAACAGAATACATCAACCTTGTTTGACCAAAAGAAAATTCATAGTCACTTCGTGATACAGACGGTTTTCTAAAATGAACTATTTGAGTTTTTTCACAATTAATAGTTAATCTCCATTTGGAACACCACACATTCATAATATCCAACATTTTTTGCAGTTTTGTTTCTTCCTCTGCTATCAAGACAATATCATCAGCATATAATAAAATGCTGAGGTTAAAGTCATCAATAGCAATTCCCAAATTTGCTCTCTTTACCTCATGTGCCAAATCATTAACATAAAGAGCAAATAATGTTGGAGAGAGAGCGTCTCCTTGTTTCACACCAAAGGGAGTAGGAAACCAACCAGTCCTCAGGTCATTCACTTGTACACAAGCTACTGGAGCCTTGTACAGGGCTTTAACACACTCATAGAAATCCCCATTAATACCACACTTAAGTAACTTAAATTCCAACAGATCTCGATTTATCCAATCAAAGGCTTTTTTAAAATCAACAAAACACACAAAGGTATCCTTGCCTTCTTGAAGTCTAGCTCTCACTACCGAGGATAGAGCATAAATGTGGTCAATACATGCTCGTTTCTTCCTGAATCCAATCTGCTCATCCACCAAAATTTCATTCACTTCTAAAAATTCACAGAGCCGGTTATTCAGGATGGCAGAAAACACCTTGTAAACTGTACTTAATAAACTTATGCCTCTATAGTTCAGAGGGACTCTGGGGTCAGCTTGAGATGATTTTGGAATAGGCTTGATGATAGATTTATACCAAATTGATGGTATCACCCAATTCTGGAAACAATATTTGAATAAACAATGCAAAACATTTAACAACTTTGGGCTTTTGAGAACCTCGTTGGACAGATCATCCACACCCACTGCCTTGTGTGGTTTAGTTTTATCAATGACTATCCGCACCTCCTCCAGTGTAATCGCTCTGTTCAAGAGGTCATTAAAACAGGACAAGGGTGGATTCATAGGTTTGTTCTCAAGCAAGAGCTTGGCACTGCAGACATCAGTTAGGAATTGATCATCAAACTGGTGGGAGGTGTTAAAAGCAAATAGACCCCGATAATCCAACTCCCACCTGTTCAGTACCTGATCAGTCTGAAAAACAGATTCCCCACTTTCTGTCACTATTTCAAAAGGGATAGTCTGTTTTCTTTTCGGCCCAAGTTTGTTTATTTCTCTCCAGAAATGCTGAGCATTACTTTGTTTCAAAAGGTCCAACTGCAGGGCCTTACCTCTTTTATATTGTCTCTTGTAGAATCTGAGTTTCTTATCAAAGTTATATTGACTTTTTCTAAAATCGTCATGCAGCTCTTTTTTTAGAGTGTGGTCTTTGCATTTCAAAAACTTTTTCTCAGCCAAATGAAATTTTACCCACAAATTCTGTAATTCACTGTTCCAAAAAGGTTGTTTTATTCTGTGATTCCCATTGCTCGTCACAGGAGTTTTCCTGTTTGTTCGGTATTTATTAAGCTCCTTGTCCAGTACCATACAAAGATGGTCATAAAAATAATTAGTATTATCCTGTACATTTGCCACATCCCCCAATATCTCATGTATATCATTGAGAATTTTACAACAGTCTTCAGAATCAAGAAAATTGTCCTGCAGCTTTCTTATTGGCCCATTATATTGAAAACTAGACCTAGCATGATTCCCTGTAGAAATAATATCTTTTGTGTGAAGGCAAAGATATAACACAGAATGGTCAGGGATTCTACATTTGTCATCCATCATTTCCATCACATACTGCCCATTTTTTTCCATTAGGTCATGGGGTGTGAAAATGTTAAATTTGGCACAAGTTTTTAAATCCACATGTGGAGTTATAATATAATCAACAACTGCTTTACCCCTGACTGATATAGAAGTGAATTCATCATTTTCTGGGTTTACCCGACCATTCAAAACACAGCATTTCGAGTCTTTGAGAAAGTCTATAAAACTTTCTCCATGTTTATTCTGACCAGTGTCCAACACGGCTCTGGGAGGGATATCGTCTTCCTCAGCATAGTCTCTAAGAGACGCAATTCGACTATTTAAATCCCCGCATATATAAACGGCGTCAACATCTGCCGCATATATTAATGACAGTAAATGCGCAAAGAAAAGGTCAGCATTACGGCCCCATGTCGAGGTTTCTGGGGATAAGTAACAAGAAATAATAATGAATGAATGCTTTGTCAATAAGTGCTCAAAACACAAACAAAGAATGCCATCAAATGTCTTATCAATAGTTTTTATACAGAAGATATCCAAAAATGTGTTTCTAACGAAAATGCCCACCCCACCAGAGGCTTTAACCGCTCTTCTATGAGAAATACGATTATGTCCAATCCATGTAAATCCATCGAGTTCAGGTGTAAAATTAGATAGATGAGTCTCATTTAGAGAAATTATATCAGGCTCTAGCGAGAGGAGAAGGTGTGCTCTTAATTTACAGTTACTTCGCGTCCACCCGTTAACATTCCAATGAACTAAAACGACGTGCTGATAGTCAGTACTCACAGGCTGGGCCTTATTAGTTAGTAGTAGTAGTAGTAGTAGTAGGGGTAGTAGTAGGAGTAAGAGTAGTAGTAGGAGTAGAAGTAGTAGGGGTAGTAGTAGGAGTAGGGGTAGTAGTAGGAGTAGAAGTAGTAGGGGTAGTAGTAGGAGTAAGGGTAGTAGTAGGAGTAGAAGTAGTAGGGGTAGTAGTAGGAGTAGAAGTAGTAGGGGTAGTAGTAGTAGTAGGGGTAGTAGTAGGAGTAAGAGTAGTAGTAGGAGTAGAAGTAGTAGGGGTAGTAGTAGGAGTAAGGGTAGTAGTAGGAGTAGATGTAGTAGGGGTAGTAGTAGGAGTAAGGGTAGTAGTAGGAGTAGAAGTAGTAGGGGTAGTAGTAGGAGTAAGGGTAGTAGTAGGAGTAGAAGTAGTAGGGGTAGTTGTAGGAGTAAGGGTAGTAGAAGTAGTAGGGGTAGTAGTAGGAGTAGAAGTAGTAGGGGTAGTAGTAGGAGTAAGGGTATTAGAAGTAGTAGGGGTAGTAGTAGGAGTAAGGGTAGTAGTAGGAGTAGAAGTAGTAGGGGTAGTTGTAGGAGTAAGGGTAGTAGAAGTAGTAGGGGTAGTAGTAGGAGTAGAAGTAGTAGTAGTAGGAGTAAGGGTAGTAGTAGGAGTAAGGGTAGTAGTAGTAGTAGGGGTAGTAGTAGGAGTAGAAGTAGTAGGGGTAGTAGTAGTAGTAGGGGTAGTAGTAGGAGTAAGAGTAGTAGTAGGAGTAGAAGTAGTAGGGGTAGTAGTAGGAGTAAGGGTAGTAGTAGGAGTAGAAGTAGTAGGGGTAGTAGTAGGAGTAAGGGTAGTAGTAGGAGTAGAAGTAGTAGTAGGAGTAAGGGTAGTAGTAGGAGTAGAAGTAGTAGGGGTAGTAGTAGGAGTAAGGGTAGTAGTAGGAGTAGAAGTAGTAGGGGTAGTTGTAGGAGTAAGGGTAGTAGAAGTAGTAGGGGTAGTAGTAGGAGTAGAAGTAGTAGTAGTAGGAGTAAGGGTAGTAGTAGGAGTAAGGGTAGTAGTAGGAGTAAGGGTAATAGTAGGAGTAGAAGTAGTAGGGGTAGTAGTAGTAGTAGGGGTAGTAGTAGGAGTAAGAGTAGTAGTAGGAGTAGAAGTAGTAGGGGTAGTAGTAGGAGTAGGGGTAGTAGTAGGAGTAGAAGTAGTAGGGGTAGTAGTAGGAGTAAGGGTAGTAGTAGGAGTAGAAGTAGTAGGGGTAGTAGTAGGAGTAAGGGTAGTAGTAGGAGTAGAAGTAGTAGGGGTAGTTGTAGGAGTAAGGGTAGTAGAAGTAGTAGGGGTAGTAGTAGGAGTAGAAGTAGTAGGGGTAGTAGTAGTAGTAGGGGTAGTAGTAGGAGTAAGAGTAGTAGTAGGAGTAGAAGTAGTAGGGGTAGTAGTAGGAGTAAGGGTAGTAGTAGGAGTAGATGTAGTAGGGGTAGTAGTAGGAGTAGAAGTAGTAGGGGTAGTTGTAGGAGTAAGGGTAGTAGAAGTAGTAGGGGTAGTAGTAGGAGTAGAAGTAGTAGGGGTAGTAGTAGGAGTAGAAGTAGTAGGGGTAGTAGTAGGAGTAAGGGTAGTAGTAGGAGAGGGCTACTCCTTTCAAACAAAATTCAATACTGTCTATACTGTATGTACCTGTGTCTATACTGTATGTACCTGTGTCTATACTGTATGTACCTGTGCTCCTTGTTCCTTGTTGCTGGTCCAATGTCTTTATCCGTCTGTTTTACTGTTTCCTAAGTTTCGTTTGGATTTTGACTTTGTTTTTACCTTGGACTTTTCTATCATTTTCATCTTGAAATCATATTTTTTTTCAAAGTCCAGTTTAGTCTTGGTTCTTGAAGATGTTTTTACACGACAACATGGCTTCCAGAACTGAATATGTAATTACCACGTACTTATTTTTGGTAGAACATTTGAGTATTTATTGATTCAATGAAAGGTCGACAAGCTGAACATTTACATTGACACCCTCTGAGCAGGACCTCTGAGCAGGACCTCTGAGCAGGACCTCTGAGCAGGACCTCTGAGCAGGACCTCTGAGCAGGACCTCTGAGCAGGACCTCTGAGAAGGACCTCTGAGCAGGACCTTTGAGCAGGACCTCTGAGCAGGACCTTTGAGCAGGACCTCTGAGCAGGACCTCTGAGCAGGACCTCTGAGCAGGACCTCTGAGCAGGACCTCTGAGCAGGACCTCTGAGCAGGACCTCTGAGCAGGACCTCTGAGCAGGACCTTTGAGCAGGACCTCTGAGCAGGACCTCTGAGCAGGACCTCTGACCAGGATCTTGGCAAAGTCTTCTGCATAATCCATCCCAGAAAAACTAGACAAAACAAAGCCTGGCCTTTTTTACTCTACACAAGCTCTAAGAAATGTTCTCTGCTTTTGCAATTCCCCCTTTCCTCTTGCACCAACTCTGGGGAAAACCATTTCAAATCAGTCAATGCCTTTTCCTCAACTCTCTCGCGTCTTACGGAGCTCTTTTCTCCGCTCACCGACACTGCCATCCTTTCCTTACCTTAAAAAATGTTCATATTTCAATAATCCGTTTTGATTCACTCCCAGGTTTCTACGACAGCAAACAATTCATCCTTATGGGCAGAATAAATAAGCTTTGAGAAAGGCTAAAACCTGCGTCAGTCCTTGGAAGGCCAAATGTGTGTTGAACATGGCCCCGGAGGATGGAGAAACAGATGCGTGTAGAAGGAGCGCTGTACAAAAGGCTTAGGGAGCAAGTTAGCGGCGCGGGAGTTAGCTATAAACAAACAGAGCGGGAAACAAAGGGACAGGGGACGTAAGCCGCAGCCGAGGGGAGGATTTCACTCTGTTTGTACCATTATAAGCATTTTATTTTCAAAGCAGTTCAGGTAAATACTAACGTGTGTCTTCTAGAAAGTGGCCTGGATGTTCTCTGGAGCCGGAGGTATTGTCGTAATGGAAAAGCCGGTAGAGAATGTATGTGTTTCTCTGGTCTCTCTCTGGTCTCTCTCTGGTCTCTCTCTGGTCTCTCTCTGGTCTCTCTCTGGTCTCTCTCTGGTCTCTCTCTGGTCTCTCTCTGGTCTCTCTCTGGTCTCTCTCTGGTCTCTCTCTGGTCTCTCTCTGGTCTCTCTCTGGTCTCTCTGGTCTCTCTGGTCTCTCTCTGGTCTCTCTCTGGTCTCTCTCTGGTCTCTCTCTGGTCTCTCTGGTCTCTCTGGTCTCTCTCTGGTCTCTCTCTGGTCTCTCTCTGGTCTCTCTCTGGTCTCTCTCTGGTCTCTCTGGTCTCTCTCTGGTCTCTCTCTGGTCTCTCTCTGGTCTCTCTCTGGTCTCTCTCTGGTCTCTCTGGTCTCTCTGGTCTCTCTCTGGTCTCTCTCTGGTCTCTCTCTGGTCTCTCTCTGGTCTCTCTCTGGTCTCTCTCTGGTCTCTCTCTGGTCTCTCTGGTCTCTCTGGTCTCTCTCTGGTCTCTCTCTGGTCTCTCTCTGGTCTCTCTCTGGTCTCTCTCTGGTCTCTCTGGTCTCTCTCTGGTCTCTTTGGTCTCTCTGGTCTCTCTCTGGTTTCTCTCTGGTCTCTCTCTGGTCTCTCTCTGGTCTCTCTGGTCTCTTTGGTCTCTCTGGTCTCTCTCTGGTTTCTCTCTGGTCTCTCTCTGGTCTCTCTGGAGGAAGTGTGTGTGGATAGGGAAGTCTGGGCGTCTCTGCTTAGACTGCTGCCCCCGTGACCCGGCAATGGATAAAGCGGAAGAAAATGGATGGATGGATGGGTGGATGGACATTTGTAAACACCACAGTAGACATTAAACATTAAACATTAAACATTAAATAGACACGCAGGTAAGAGCACCGGTAGAGACCATAGGACTATAGAAAAACAGTAACAGGACGTCAAAACAGCACCCCTCACTCTAAAGTGCACTAACCCTAATCCTGAAGTGCAGTGTGTGTTTTATCTGATGATACAAGCAAATACATGTATTAATGAATGCCATCCATCCATCCATTTTCTTCCCTTTAATCCATTTCTGGGTCAGGGGGGTGACAGATGCCACCCAAGTCTCATAGCACCAGCCCCTCACTGACCCTCTGCAGGTGGTGAGTCCACAGGAGGACGGCTGCTCTCTGACTGTGAGCATAGCCTTGATCTTTCAGTGGGGGCTTTGGGCAAAGTGGGGTTAAGTGTCTTGCCCAAGGACACAACGACAGTAGTCATCAGTGGGAGTCGGTGGAGAAGGTGCAGAGGTGGGAATTGAACCCACAACCTTCTGGCCATAAGGCCAATGCTCTACCAACTGAGCTACTGTCGCCCAATTTGTCGTATTAATGAATGATTTAATGTATTTCCTGCCAGTGAAATGTGGATAAAGACATCAGCATCATAATATTCTGTCTGGTAAACATAGATAAATAAATCTGGGGCGGCTCACGGCTCAACGCTCGGTGTAAAAGTAGATCCTGGTTCGACAAACTGTGAGTCTGTGGATTCACAAACTCAGGAAACAGCATCAAACAGTTGGAAACAAGTTTGTGCCAAAACCCATGACGCTGCTCCTGCGACGAGCCCAAAGCCGTCTGCAGGATACAGCGCTCGGATGGAGCACGGCGAGATTTCCCGTTGCTATGGTTACCACTCTGCGCTGCCATTGTGCCGTGCAGAGGATGTGTAGTGTTGGGTCTTGTTTTAACTGTTTGATTTTCTAGTTTACTGTTGGCAAATCCAGTCTTCGTAGTGTCCTTCGAGACGATTTTGAGCAATACGAAAAAATGTTTTTTGTTGTTGGACTTGAAACTACTCCGCCGTCTCACCAAAGCAGCTTCATTAGAACACTACTGTACCCAGAGGTCTAACTGCCACCCCTAAAAAACGAGGCAAGCAAGATTTTTTGTATAGCACAGTTCATACACAGACAGCTCAAAGTGCAGAACAAAACAAGATAGAAACAGTCACACAAGGCATTAAAATCATAAATAATCACAATGCATTAAAGAGAGTGATGATGCAATCCCCCAGTTGTGAACACAGCTGAACAAAACTGTTTTTAACCTGGATTTGAACATTGTCAGAGAATGAAAGAATAAAAGACAAAGACAACAAGAAGTATCCACTGCTCACTCCAAAGAGCCTGGTCTCTCTCTGGTCTCTCTCTGGTCTCTCTCTGGTCTCTCTGGTCTCTCTGGTCTCTCTCTGGTCTCTCTCTCCGGTCTCTCTCTGGTCTCTCTCTCTGGTCTCTCTCTGGTCTCTCTGGTCTCTCTGGTCTCTCTCTGGTCTCTCTCTGGTCTCTCTGGTCTCTCTCTGGTCTCTCTCTGGTCTCTCTCTGGTCTCTCTCTGGTCTCTCTGATCTCTCTCTGGTCTTTCTCTGGTCTCTCTGGTCTCTCTCTGGTCTCTCTCTGGTCTCTCTGGTCTCTCTCTGGTCTTTCTCTGGTCTCTCTGGTCTCTCTCTGGTCTCTCTCTGGTCTCTCTGGCCTCTCTGGTCTCTCTCTGGTCTCTCGCTGGTCTCTCTCTGGTCTCTCTCTGGTCTCTCTCTGGTCTCTCTCTCTGGTCTCTCTGGTCTCTCTCTGGTCTGTCTGGTCTCTCTCTGGTCTCTCTAGTTTTTCTCTGGTCTCTCTGGTCTCTCTCTGGTCTCTCTCTGGTCTCTCTCTCTGGTCTCTCTCTCTGGTCTCTCTCTCTGGTCTCTCTCTGGTCTCTCTCTGGTCTCTCTCTGGTCTCTCTCTCTGTTCTCTCTCTCTGGTCTCTCTCTCTGGTCTCTCTCTGGTCTCTCTCTGGTCTCTCTAGTTTTTCTCTGGTCTCTCTGGTCTCTCTCTGGTCTCTCTCTGGTCTCTCTCTGGTCTCTCTCTCTGGTCTCTCTCTCTGGTCTCTCTCTCTGGTCTCTCTTGGTCTCTGGTCTCTCTCTGGTCTCTCTCTCTGGTCTCTCTCTCTGGTCTCTCTCTCTGGTCTCTCTCTGGTCTCTCTCTGGTCTCTCTCTCTGGTCTCTCTCTCTGGTCTCTCTCTGGTCTCTCTCTGGTCTCTCTCTCTGGTCTCTCTCTCTGGTCTCTCTCTGGTCTCTCTCTGGTCTCTCTCTGGTCTCTCTCTCTGGTCTCTCTCTCTGGTCTCTCTCTCTGGTCTCTCTCTCTGGTCTCTCTCTCTGGGTCTCTCTCTCTGGTCTCTCTGGTCTCTCTCTCTGGTCTCTCTCTGGTCTCTCTCTGGTCTTTCTCTGGTCTCTCTCTGGTCTCTCTCTGGTCTCTCTCTCTGGTCTCTCTCTCTGGTCTCTCTCTGGTCTCTCTCTCTGTTCTCTCTCTCTGTTCTCTCTCTGATCTCTCTCTGGTCTCTCTCTCTGGTCTCTCTCTCTGGTCTCTCTCTCTGGTCTCTCTCTGGTCTCTCTCTGGTCTCTTTCTGTTTTCTCTCTGTTCTCTCTCAGGTCTCTCTCTGGTCTCTCTCTGGTCTCTCTCTCTGGTCTCTCTCTGGTCTCTCTCTGGTCTCTCTCTCTGGTCTCTCTCTGGTCTCTCTCTGGTCTCTCTCTGGTCTCTCTCTCTGTTCTCTCTCTGGTCTCTCTCTGGTCTCTCTCTCTGGTCTCTCTCTCTGGTCTCTCTCTGGTCTCTCTCTCTGGTCTCTCTCTGGTCTCTCTCTCTGTTCTCTCTCTGTCTCTCTCTCTGGTCTCTCTCTCTGGTCTCTCTCTGGTCTCTCTCTGGTCTCTCTCTCTGGTCTCTCTCTCTGGTCTCTCTCTCTGGTCTCTCTCTGGTCTCTCTCTGGTCTCTCTCTCTGGTCTCTCTCTGGTCTCTCTCTGGTCTCTCTCTGGTCTCTTTCTGTTTTCTCTCAGGTCTCTCTCAGGTCTCTCTCTGGTCTCTCTCTGGTCTCTCTCTGGTCTCTCTCTCTGGTCTCTCTCTCTGTTCTCTCTCTGGTCTCTCTCTCTGTTCTCTCTCTGGTCTCTCTCTGGTCTCTCTGGTCTCTCCGGTCCCTGGTCTTAAACCTTTTTAATCTGAGTTCTTCACATTTCTGCTGAATGGGTTGTTTTCTCAGTCCATGATCCATAGACCTTTTGGCTCCAGGACTGCTCTGGCTTCTGGCTCTAAACGGAGACAAACTATTTGAGCTACAAGCGTTGGACTCTTGGCAGCCACAAATAAATAGATCGATAAAAAGAGATAGTTGGTAGATAGAAAGAGAGAAAGATAGAGAGTAGCCTTGTAGCTTTTATTGAATAGTTTCAGATCCATAAATAGGTTTAAAGGAGACGTATGACCCAAAATGATGTTGGTTTTAGATCCATCCTCTCAAACATGTAGCTCCGCCCCTTCTGTCCGAAAGCTCGCTCTCCGTCCTGTAAAAGTGTGATGTCATATTTTCTCTATGACGTCACACTCAGGACAGTG